TTGTCTTTAGCGAGTTGGCGGACCACTACGACATCTCCCACTTGGAAAAGGTGTGTTGGTTCCTGAAAAGATAAAGGAAAAGTGCGAGCAACATTTCTTTCAATCTGATCTAAAGTCTGAATCAATTTTCTCACATATTCTTGTTGTACCAGGTCAAGGTCCCCTCTTTCTAACATAAGTGGCTGTCTAGCCCAAGGAGTGGGGAACGATCTTCCCATTAATATTTCAAAAGGAGATAACCTTGTAGTCTTATTAGGTGTCATTCTTACCTCTGCTAGAATTGCAGGTAACATCTTCTTCCAGTGGGTATAGGTTCCTCCAGTGGCCTTCCTCAACTTATCCTTAATTGTCCTGTTCATCCTTTCTACTATACCCCAACTTTGAGGATGATAGGGAATATGACATTTCCATCTAAGTACTTTTACCAGGTCTTGGTATACCTTGGCCACAATGGCTGGTCCGTTATCAGAATTTATCTGCAGCGGACATCCCCATCTGGGTATTATCTCCTGTGTAAGAATTCTGACTACAGTCTGTGCGTCTTCTTTATTAGTGACAAATGCTTCCACCCATCTGCTGAACATATCCACCATTACCAACAAAAACTCTTGCCTCTGTCCTGTTTTTGGCATGTGGGTAAAATCTATTTGTAAATGGGTGAAAGGTGTAGTTGGGTACACTAGATGCTGGTGTTGTGATTTCTTTGGGTTCTGTGGATTGTTCCTTATACATGTAATGCACCTGGAAACATATTCTTTCACCAACCTAGATAAACCTGTAATGTAAAAATCCTGCAATAATGTTTCACATGTCGTTTTCCATCCTCTATGTCCTAGACCATGGTACTGTGCAATGAACAATGGGGCACTTGACATGGGAATGCATGGTTTCCCCTCTAAGCACACTAGACCAGAAGCTGGATCCAGTTGTGCTCCAGAACCATTCCAGTCTGCTAGATCGACTTCTGTAGCAAATGTTTGTAAATCTGCATACATCTGGTCATGTGGGGTGGTTGTGACACCTGAATGGGCATAGGCATCTGTTCACTGGCCACCTGTTGTAATGCGGCTTCCTTTGCTACCTTATCTGCTAATGCATTTCCTTTGGCAATATGATCTCTGCGATTTGTATGTGCCCTGCAATGAAGAATGGCTAATGTTTTCGGTAACTATGGCTTTGAGTAGATCAGATATCAAGGAAGAGTGAGATATGGTTTTGCCATCAGCAGCAATGAATCCTCTTCTCTCCCAAATGACCCCAAAATCGTGTACAGCACCATGGGCGTACTTGGAGTCTGTGTAAATGTTGACATCCTGTCCTGCAAATAATTGACATGCTCTTGTAAGGGCAATCAGTTCGGCTGCTTGGGCTGACTGATATGGGATTGGCTTTGCCTCGAGTATTTTGTCAGGAAGTTGCACAATGGCATCTCCTGCATGGTAAGTATTATCATTTGGCCTAGAGCATGAGCCATCTACAAACACATCTGGGGCCCCATCAAGAGCCACAGCTGACATGTCGGACCTAGGGGAAGTGTCTTGCTGTATGTGGGTTATACAATTGTGTTTGGTGCCACTTCATCCTGTTCCCCCTTTAGCCCCAATAGGGCATTCAAAATTGGAGCAGGACCTGAATTTGCTGAAGAATATTTAATAATCAAGTTGGGATCAGATAGAAGAATCACTTCATATCCGCTCAACCTTGTGCTGACATGTGTTGAGTGTGTATGTTTTTCAGTAGTAAGGACACTTGATGTGTGGTGTGTAGGGTAGTTTCATGTCCCAATGTGAAAGAAATAGCCATCTCCACCACCATCACACAGGATGCAACAGCTCTCAGACAAGCAGGCATGCCCTGAACCTGAGTTGGCACTACTTTGGGAAAAAAAAGCTACAGGGCGGAGCTTGCCTCCATGTTCCTGAGCCAGGACCCCCGCCATGGTTGTACAATTTTCCCCCGCATACAGATGAAACATTTTCTTATAGTCAGGTAGTCCAAGACCAGGGGCCGTTACCATAGCATTCTTCAGGTACACAAAGGCATCAACCATTTCATTTGACCATGTGAGAATGTCAGGTGATTCTGAAAGTGTGGCAGACCTCAGAGTGTGATCATAGAATGAACAATCAGGTATCCATTGGCGGCAGTAACCAATCATACCAAGAAAAGTTAGCATGTCCTTTTTTGTTTGTGGGCGGGGCAGACCCACGAGAGCCGCAGCTCTTTTGTGACTGACATTCCTCTCACCATGACTTAGAGTAAAACCAAGGTATTCAACCTGTTTTTGGCACCATTGCAATTTCTTTTTAGATGCTTTGTGACCATTCCCTGACAACCATTCTAACAGAGACCAACTATCATCCTGACTGGCCGCCTGACTTGGACTACAAATCAATAGGTCCCACATATTGTGTAGGAGGAACTGAACCATTGAGGGGTCCAGGACCTCAGTGTGGTCTGGAGGGCAAGTGAGTAGACTGCAGGCGAATCTACAAAGCCCCGAGGCATTCTACACCAGGGTCATCTGGCGATTGCGGAACGTAAATGCAAATACTGCCCTCGTCTGGTGGTCCACAGGAACCGAAAAAATATGCATTTGTTAAATCAATCACTGTAAAATATTCTGCATCGGATGGAATGGAGGTGAGGAGTGATGGCACATCAGGCACTATTGGGGCTATTGGAACCACCAAATTATTTATGGCCCTCAATCTTGTACAAACCTGTAAGAGCCATCCGGCTTCTTAACAGGATTGATAGGTGTGTTGTAAGGAGAAACCGTTTCTTCTAAAATACCTGTTTCTAAAAATCTTTCCACTAGAGGAGCAATCCCTTCCTCCTTCTCTGGTGTTAATTTGTATTGCCTCTGTTTGTAGGGCAATGCCCCTTCCTTGAGTGTGACTGTGTATGGTGTACATGAAATTAATCCTACATCCATAGAATTTGTGGCCCAGACTGGATGTGTATCAGGAGGGGGTGTGTAATGTGTGAGGGATGACTCTCATCATTGAAATAGGTGGGTATAATGGGTACTTTGGAGGATCTGGCAACAATACCTCCTTCTGATGTTACTCTCAGAGAAATCCCTAAAATTCCCATAAAATCTCTCCCTCTCTCTCTGGAATGGGTCTGTACTTCCCATGGCTTCTGTCCAGCCTGCCATACAATCCACCCAGGGATTTTATTAAATAATCCATTCCATAAACTCTAGTAACATAATCCTTACAATTTTCTCCCTTTTCTGGGGGACCTGGTGGGTAACTACCTCCTTGACCCATATTTAGACAGTGGATAAGATTATCTTCTTACCTTATAATCTTATTTTGTTCCACACAACAAATTATCTTATACTTCTACGCAACAGAAAGAAAAAGCAAAAGACAGATAAACCAGAATCTGCTCCACAGACTTATTAACCTTTTGATAACTTCCCAAAAGTTATCTCTTCACTGTTCTACCAGTGTGTTCTACCAACAGGACAATCTGTGTTCTACCAAAAACAATTTCTTCTTTTTTACCAAATACACACTTTTTTTGTATAGTGCACTATTTTGTAACTCTACCAAAGAGTTAAGTCTGCTTACCAAAAGCAGCTACAGGTTATCACGGGTCTATATAGACAATACAGAATGATTCAAGACCTTCCCTCAACACAGGGCAAGAAAGAGCTTTTTTAGTCATAAAAAGACAAAAGGTTTACTTACCAAGTGAGGTGGGTGGTCATCCCGGGCGAGCCCCCAGCTGAAAGGATGATTTTCTTTATCCCCTCAGAGACCCCCGGTCTGTGGAGAGATTCCTGGTTTATCAGCAGAATTCTGGGAACACCCCTTGAACACGGAAATAACGGCAGCTTATGTTCAGAGATGTTCAAAGTTTATTAGACATTACTAAGATTATATAGGATACAGAAATAATAAGGGGGGGGGGGAGCGAGTTCTAAAACTGTAGTTGTAAGTTTCCATCATGAGCTAATCACATGAAACATGACATATACATTTCTTGGTACAAACTGTTTTGGCTAGCTTTCTGAGAAATAGCCGGGCAAAGACATTGTCAGGGTCGTGTTATCATTGTTGATACATCCTTGAGCAAACTAAAACAGTTTCATTAAACTTCAAATATATCTGCAAAAACCTAACTTAATACTTAAAATGTCGTACATCAACACAATGGAGGTTCTCTAGATCCTTTCACCTAGGGGCTTGATTGTATACACTTGTGGTCATGGAGGGGATTGGCACATGAATCACACATGAATCCAATGATTGGAGGGGATTGGAAAACCTGAGTCACATGATTGGAGGGCTGGCCCAATACTTGGGGCAATATAGTGTACTTCCACTCCTTAAATGAAAGTCTCCTGACATTTAGGGGTCTCTTCATAACAGATTTTCCCAGCAATTTCCCACGTTGATGGCAGTGTACATTCCATCTCTGGGAATGGGGGTAAAACACAAATGCTATTAGACTGTTTACTGAGTTGGTCAAAAAGTTTATAATGATTTGAAAAAAAATAACTGCTTTCAGTTTCTAGATGAGCGAATTCCTATGATACTTAATGTCATCACTGGATGAATACAATACAACCGATATTCATCACAGCTGGACACATGCTACTCACATTTGTCCAATAATTTGTTTAAAAATAGACCTTTAATTGTTTGTGAAATCTCCCACCACAAAATGTACTCAGCCAATCACAGGGCAGGACTCCATTTATATTCTTCTCCTGCCATCAATGGAAAACCCGGTCCCACACTTCGTCCATGTCTTTGGGGGCCTCTGATCTCCTTATGAACTGTTTCTTCCATGATGAAGATCAGCCATGGAGTATATCTGAGGTGTATATCAGGGTGTGCTTCTTCCCCACATGAGAGCTGGGATGTCCAGCAACATTCATCTAGAAGACATTTCCCGCACTCAAGGCACTAATACACCTCCAGGGTTGTGTGGGACCCCTGATGTACAGGAAGACAAGACTTCAGTGAGGAACATTTCCCTCACTCAGGACAGGAAAGTGGCTTCTCCCTTGTGTGAGATCTCTGATGTCTCTTAAGATTGGACTTCACTGAAAAACATTTCCCACACTCAGGGCAGATATACGGCTTCTCCCCCATGTGCAATCTCTGATGTTTGTAAAGATTGGACTTATCAGAAAAACATTTCCCGCATTCAGAACAGGAATAAGGCTTCTCGCCTGTGTGCAGTCTCTGATGTGTGTCAAGATGGGACTTCCCTGAAAAACTTTTCCCACACTCAGGACAAGAATATGCCTTCTCCCCCGTGTGAGAAATTTGATGTGTATAAAGATGTGACTTCACTGAAAAAGATTTACCACACTCAGGACAGAAATGCGGCTTCTCCCCCGTGTGCAGCCTCTGATGTCTGTAAAGATGGGAATTGTCTGAAAAACATTTCCCGCACTCAGGACAGGGATATGGCTTCTCCCCGTGTGAGATCTCTGATGTGTGTAAAGATAGGACTTCTGTGAAAAACATTTCCCACACTCAGGACAGGAAAATGGCTTCTCCCCAGTGTGCAATCTCTGATGTTTATAAAGATTAGACTTCACTGAAAAAGATTTCCAACACTCAGGACAGGAATATGGCTTCTCCCCCGTGTGAGATCTCTGATGTATGACAAGATCTGACATTTCTACAAAACATTTCCCGCATTCAGGACAGGAATACAGATTCTCACATGTGTGAGATCTTTTATGCATAGTAAGTTTGGATTTAGAACAGAAACCCTTCCCGCATTCAGAACAGGAGAAGCTCTTCCCTGTTGGAAGGCCGGCCCGGTCCCGCACAGTCTGAGGTTCCTCAGGATACGAGGAATCCGATGGTCCATCTACACTGGGTGGTGCCGGATGGACATTGGAGGGAGCCGGGTTTTCTCCTGGACTATACTGTGTGATGTCCTCATCTTCTACTTTCCAGTCTGGAGACAAAGTGAGACAATCCTCGGAGGTTTTCCTCATCTCCCGGCCATGGACTAAAATACAAAGACAAAGAGGATTACTAGACAGGAGCTGATTGGTTCCCCCAAACCAGGACTCCGCCCACATCAGGCAGCTTGGTCTCTGAGGAGCTTACAATTCCACCCTCAAGGGAACTAGGAAATGGCTCCTCTGATCTCCTACCAGGTCATTTCTTTATTCATGGACCTTAGTCAGAGAGTGAGGAAACAACCAGAACTGTCTTTTATAGGAGGGACAGTGATGAGGGGATTATAGGACGAGGGTTCCCATCCCCTCTATCACTCATCGCCATCTTCCCAATGTTTTCCTATGTTTATACAGTTGCAAGAAAAAAGTATGTGAACCCCTTGGGATTACGTGGAGTTTTTGCATGAATTGGGCATAAAATGTGCTCTACAACGTCATCTAAGTCACAACAATGAACATAATACTACACAAACATTAGATGTTGCCCATGGTTTAATTGCACATAACATGTAAAAAATTCACAGTGCAGCCGGAAAAAGTATGTGAGGGATGCCCTAGCTTAATGACTTCTCCCTGAGCTAATTGGAGCCAGGAGTGAGCCAACCTTGACTCCAATATCAGTGTGATGATATTGGATGTGTTGCTGACAGCTGTCCTGCCCTTAAAAAACACAGACCTGTTTTGGGTTTACTGGTTTTCAAGAAGCACAGTCTGATGTGAACCATGCCTCGCAGAAAAGAGCTCTCAGAAGACCTACGATCAAGAATTGTTGATTTGCATGAAGCAGGAAAGGGTTACAAAAGTATCTCCTTGAGCCTTGATGTTCATGTGTCCACGGGTAAGTCAGACTGTCTACAAATGGAGAAAGTTTAGCACTGTTGCTACTCTCCCTAGGCGTGGTCGTCCTGTAAAAATGACTGCAAGAGCACAGCGCAGAATGCTGCATGAGGTAAAGGAGAATCCCAGAGTGTCAGCTAAAGACCTACAGAAATCTCTGGCACATGCTAACATTTTTGTTGACACATCTACAATAAGGAAACATTAAACAAGAATGGAGTACATTGGAGGACACCACGGAGGAAGCCATTGCTGTCCAAAAAGAATATTGCAGCACGTTTGAAGTTTGTAAAAGAGCACCTGGATGTTCCACAGCACAAACTGGCAAAATATACTGGGGACAGATAAAACCAAGATTGAGTTGTTGGGAAGAACACACAACACTATGTGTGGAGAAAAAAAGCACAGCACACCAACATCAAAACTTCATCCCCACTGTGAAACATGGCGGAGGGAGCATCATGGTTTGGGGCTGCTTTGCTGCCTCAGGGCCTGGACGGATTGTTGTCATTGATGGGAAATGAATTCCAGAGTTTATCAAGACATTTTTCAGGAAAACGTACGACCATCTGTCCGCCAACTGAAGCTCCGCAGAGGATGGGTGATGCAACAGGACAATGACCCAAAGCATACAAGTAATTCAACAAAACAATGGCTGCAACAGCACAGAATACGCCTTCTTCTGGAGTGGCCCATCAGAGCCCTGACCTCAACACGACTGAAATGCTGTGCATGACCTTAAGAGAGCGATTCACACCAGACATCCCAAGAATATTGCTACACTGAAACAGTTTTGTGAAGAGGAGTGGTCCAAAATGACTCCAGATCGTTGTGCAGGTCTGATCTGCAACTACAGAAACGTTTGGATTGAGGTATTGCTGCCAAAGGAGGGTCAACCAGTTATTAAGTCCAAAGGTCATCACATACATTTTTCTCCCTGCACTGTGAATGTTTACATGTTTATGTGCAATTAAACCATGGCAACATCTAATGTTTGTGTAGTATTATGTTCATCAGACTGTGTTCTTCTATTGTTATGTGACTTAGATGACGTTCAGAGCACATTTTATGCCCAATTCATGCAAAACTCCACGTAATCCCAAGGGGTTCACATACTTTTTCTTGCAACTGTATATAGCAGTTGGAAGAAGATAGAGAGAGCAGAAGTCAGGAGTATGTAATGTACAATATAGAGTATATAGATGCAGGGGTCAGGAGTATGTAATGTACAACATAGAGTATATATAGTGCAGGGGTCAGGAGTATGTAATGTACAAATAATATTATACAGTGTAAGGGTCAGGACTCATATTATTGGTATTCAGTAATCAGTGGAAGCTTAAATGTTTACTGTAGACAAGTTGCAGAGATCCCACACCGCTGCCTCCCATCTCCTGAGACTGCACTCAGTGACTTGGGTCTGAGACACTACAGACATATCCCTCCACCCGGCACAGCCATCAGATAACAGAGAAGGTCCCCTGGGAGAATTGTTCTGTCAGAAATCTTACTAGACCCGGGTATGGGGCAGAAAGACCCAAAGCACACACCCCAGGTGCCTAGGTCAAGTAACACTTATGGTGAAATGAACATTTTGCTGCCAGCTGAACCCCAGAACCTCCATAAATCCAGTCTAGAGACATAAATTGTGTCTGCAGCACAGAGAAGGAAGATTATCCGAGAGAAATCCAGGAATACAGGACGGGGAACACAGCTCAGGAAAGTGACCAGGGGATTTACAGCTGATATCACCCAGTCCCCCCCCCCCGCCCTACTCTGGACCAATCAGTCATGAGCAGTATGGGTGGAGGAATGGATTTAGTGTTCATGAC